AAAAATAAAGCAAAGCAAATTTTCAATTTTTTTAACGAAAAGGTATTCAAAAATGTAAAAAGTATTTGGAAGCATGTAAAAGTAGAACAGAAAAAATGATTCGTGATTTGATTGCTTTTATTTAAAAAACATTTAAATCATTTAAAAAACATAAAAGTGCACTTTAAATTATACAGAAAGTCCCAGAAGTAATGTATAGATTAATTTAAGATTCAGCGGTTTGTTTTTTGGGAAAAACGATCGGACTCGTCGATTTTCATTTGTTACTGGATGGTCCAAAAATATGTTACTACCATTAATTTCATTTTTTCAAATGGAATGCAATGCTTGTCTCTCTGAGCTTGTAGGGTGTTTTGAATATTTATTATCAGTCCTTTCACTCCTAGCTCAAGAGGTTTGACGGTCTCGACCTGGCCAGGAATTGTGTAAATAGGTCAAGCCGTCTTCTGCATTCACCAAAATTGCAATTTTGGTAGGAATATCTAAACATGTCTGTGTATGCGTTTTCCGTTCCACTCTGGATATGAAGGCAGATGACCTGAGCTGATCTGTTTACCACATTCCAGTCATCTGTTTACCATATTCCAGGTGTCACCGTTAAACTTGGGGTTAGTCGAGATGCTCATTCCAGAGGGGTTCTCTGGAAGCGCCTGGCAAATGCGTCTCCATTTCTTTATCTGTATTTCGTTCTGCCCTTTTTCATTCATACATCATCAACATCATCATCATCATCATCATGATATTTTTGTGTAAGCATTGAGAGTTTTCTTAAGCAAAATGTCTTTATCGTATATAATTATGCAGGTAACTTTTGCTTTTAATTAATACGACTCGTACTTATTTGGTTTCGTCTGTCTTCTATAGCTATTGTATTAATAATTCCAAATATATAGATATGAATATAATAATGAATATGTTGCCGCGTCTTGCACGTTTATTTGTCGTAAGTTACTCGTATTTACTACTGTGGGAATTGCATTCATGTTTTGATATAAAAAAAAATAGTCTATTTAACAACCATACTTTTACTGTGCACTTATGACCGATTAATGAGTCAATAAACTATTTCCAGATAATACTTTTCGTAATAAACAACAGTGTTCGTGCGTGAAAACGTTCGAAAGTGCATTTAAGATCATTATTTGCTTTTGCGATAATCCTACAAAATGCGACTCTGCTACAGTTAGATCACTAGGCTAGACTTGAAAATTACAAATTATAGTTTTCTAATAAATTTTGTCAAATGTTTTACAGAACTAATTTATAACCATCCATATGCATACATAACATTTTAATTCTTAATACAGATATACATTCTAATTAGGGATTCAATATGAATAATTAGTAATAATGATGAATTATCTTCAAAATATTTCGTGCTTATTTAAAAACAACTTGTTTCATCTCAAATTATTTAAAATTACTGTAAACCATCATCAGTGTATTTCCTTGTCAATGATTTAATTATAGTAAGATTATTCATGTAAAATACGTAAGTTTCCATGTGAGAGTAACGAGTGTAACGAATAATGAATATATTGTACCGAATACTAAGATTGTTCGTAACGAGTTTATACGGGTATTCCGTTTTCGTTACTTTTACAGGATTAGCAACAAGACTCGTGTAAATGTATTGATATTCCTCAGAAATATGTATTGTTTATGGTTTCAAAAATAGAATAAAGCAACAAACCTTTAACCAAAATACTTGGACTAGGAGCTTGCTAATTTAGTTAAATTTGCGATGTTTGCTTCTTTTCTGCTCGTAAACTGAAATGTAAAGGCCATTTCTCCAGACCTATTAGAAATTAGCACACCAAATGCCTGGCTATTTATATAAATATATTAAATTTTACAAATGTTTCGCGGCTGATGACTTTAGGAAGTGTAAAAGATGCTTAATTTCTTGGTTTATTTTCGATGCCGATGCACAGAGATGCCATTCTCTTTGTTGCCAACAAATTCCAGAGCAGTCTGAATATTGTGAAAAATGCAAAGTCAAGCTAGAGCCTAGAAGCAATCAGTATAAGACTTTTCAAAAATAAGACAAGCAGAAATAACATTTCTTTTTAAATAACTTTTGTTGCTTCAATGCAATTTATGCATTTTAGGAGCTTGTAGGTTTTATTGTAATGTTGGTTTGTAATTGAACATATAATTCTGTATAGGAAGGTTCAAATCCGAGTATTATCATTGACTCGTAAATGATTAAAATATTAAAGTTGCGAGAGAAACCTTAGTGAAGACGCACGACCACAGGCAATAAAAACAACAAGAGTCAGCGGATACCTGAGAGATAAAATATGTCAAAATAAAATGATGAGTTCAAAGATCAAGTTGCGGATTTACAAAACGTTCGTAAGGCCTATTTTAACGTACGCCAAGAGATGGTATGAAAGCTGGAGCTCAGCGTCACTAGATGAGTCCTGAAGGCGGCTAAACACAACGGACTAAACAGGACTCGGCCCTAATATAAAAAGTAGAAGAAGAATAATATTATTTCCAAAACTGTCTGTGAAACTATCCATTTCACCAACCCAAGACTATTAAATCTTTATGGAAAGTTACACAAACGTTCAAAACACCCATAAAACGAAATTCAATGCTCCCCTCTACACTAAAGATAAGACTAAGGATAAGCGCGTGGTGACCAATTAAGATTCACTCTATTCAAAATTTTCATCTAAACAAGATTCAGAAAAGATTAAAATCTAAACAATGTTTTGAAAGAGGAATAGGGAACTCCTTAGGTGATCACTAGCTACATCTAAAGCCTTAAAAGATTTCATTTCAGACAAAATTTATAAAAAAATCAAAGGTGGCAAGGATATCGGCTCTAACATAGTAGCTATTCATATCCTTAAACAGCTCAAAAAGCAAGTATACTTAATGTAAAACTAAAACCGTTGCACGTCATCAATCGTCAAACTGACCCTGTTGCCAAGTTGTCATGAAAATCTTTTGTTTTTGATAATTGGTTTTAGATCAATAATAATCGCTTAATTTTAAACCATGGAAATGTAAGAAAAAAAAACAACTGTATACAACGCCGTCGTCGTTCGAAAAACAACACTTTTCGCCCTTGCATCGAAAACTACTATTATTTGGAAGCAAAATAGCTAAGTGTATTTTCCAAAAAAATGGTTAATGTTTTGATTTTGTAGTTAAATACTTTGTAATAACTCGGGTCACCTTGTATATGTAGGTAATTGTCATTTGCCGTTATTAATAATATAGAGGGGTAGTTACTTCGTTCAAAATTTTTGATTACTACAAACTAACGTTTTCACTTTTTTTATTACTAAACTAAAGTTCAAATCTGTTGAAATGAAATAAACAGAACTCCATCTTTAAACCCAGACTTTTCTTACTTGTGTCATGTATCCTGGGGCCCCACTATATCCAAGATATCGCTTGTTGTCCCATGGCTCAATACTTATTGGGTATCTAGCCATTGATTGAGTGTATTTATTTTTATCGTTTTGTTTGCAGGTCGGGAAAATATACGATTTCAATTATTTATGTATTAACAAAAATGTGTGGGTTGTCAATTTGTCCCAGTTAAAGCCAGTATACTTTACAGGAAGTGTCCTTCACCTACAATCGATAAAATTGGGTCGAAAATAAGGGTTTCGCTTGATTAATTATCAGTATATGTAGTTAGATTAGGGACTTTCACTATGTCTAGGCCACATTTTCCGTTATCAGTTCGAGTTAATTACTAAAACAATTTAGTAATACCTTATAAAGTTGTCAAAATTTATTAATTTTTCTCCGATATTCATGAGAAAAAAACAGAGAATTATGATTGGATTGTCATCAATGGTTCATTTTAGCGACGATCGTGTGCAATAAATTGTAAGTGTTACAACCAGCGCTACCTACGATTTGAAGCCTACTTGCTGTATGTTCGGACAAACTACGGCCATAAAATATTGATCATAAAAAAATATGATCCTACTCAGACACCACTAGTGTACAGCATGGAATATTGCAGAAAAATGTGAGGTATTGAAGTGGTAAGAACCTTCTGGGACGTGAAAGTCCTACCAAGTGGGGTCAAGTGTACTCCCTTCAAAATATTTCGAAAAATCTTTAAATGTGCAAGCTTAATGGGAAGTCGACAGATACGAAGGCATAATGGGATAAAAATGACTACAATGTATGGCTGGATGCTGTATCGACAATGCGAGAAAGATGTGGGTAAACGCTAGGCTGAGGACTCACACAACCCAGAGCGCAAACATACGAGCTCTGGAAGGTACCGTAAGACACAATTTTCCAAATCTCGACAAAAAAAATTCACAGGGAACTGAACTTGGGCTTTTTGTTATTCCTCACATACATAAATGATATGGTTGGGGTAGTAAATAAAGTGAAATAGAACTGTTTGCCGATGACACTATAATATACATAGCAGGAAAAGACATTATATAGACAAAGGCAACACGTTGTTAATGATAGTTGGCAAAACGGGTGTGGATAATATGAATAATTATAGCTTTAGGCAAAAGGATAGAAATACAATGTCTCTGAATTTTATTTCTTTACAGGGTAATTTAAAATTGGCGTCATTCCCCTGGGAATACATTACGTTACATCAACATTACGTAAATACCTGTCCCGTGTGGAGTTGCTAGTCCCCCATCGGGCGCCTCCCTAGCTGGCGGATAGGGGGAAAACCTCCTAGATATAGGTGGTACCGAGGAAATGAAATTCTCGGGGCGGACCAAAACTAGCGCAGTAGCGTCTGACCCAGAATGGGCGGCCACTAACAGCGTCTGTTCCACAAAGGGGCGGCTGATATACAAACTCACCAACCCGCACGGCAAGCGTAATGTTCTAGATGCCAAAACCCCTACGATGAATAGAAGGAACTAAAGGCCCTAGCAACCGGAAAATTCCCTACAAAGGCAGCTGTCGTCAGAATAGAAGCGAGGGTGCAAAGCACTGGAAGAGATCAGGCTACCACACGAAGTTGAACATACAATATCAGATCAATGGCGTTGGAAGGCAGAACAGATGAACTGGAATCCGAACAAGAAAGAATCAAATTGGAAATGTTGGGTAAGACAAGGAAAAGACAATCAGACCATAAACTATACTACAAAGCCCAAGAAAACACAAGCGTGGGAGAGGTGGGAATACTAATACATAGAAAACTGACAGACAGGGTAAAATTGATTAAAGTTATATCCGAAAGGGTAGTATACGCAATAATACAAATAAACAGGCTGGAAACACTAACGATAAGCGAAGCCTACGCTCCAATAAGCACCACCGACGACGAAGTCAGTAAACTCTACGAGGATGTCTCTGGAAGAATGCCTGCAAACAAAACTTCAAAAGTGTAAGATAGGAGGCCAAGTAGACCCAGAGGAAATATACGTAGGCAAACACGGGCTACAGAAAATAGACCCCAGAGATGCTAGGATGGCAAACCTCTTGGAGGAAGAACACCTGTACAACGACAACATTTTCTTTCAGAAAAGCCACAACCGAAAATGGACCTAGCCAAGACCAGATATTTTAACAAAGAACATTCACGTAGTACATAATGTCGAGATACTAAACACACAAACGAACTAAGTGTGGTAATACTAAACATGAGTTAACTATTTCAATATGGCAAAGCCGCTTTTAAAAAAACAACTAAATTCTACTAACGCGTTTATTTTTGATGAAAGAAACTCTACATGTGTATTTGTCGAAAGATAAAAATGAAGTCACTGGTAATCAGCGCAAATGTGCTTTTGTTTGAAGTAAACGCATTGTCAGCATTTGGATGATTCAGCGGAACGCGTATAGGACCGTCACATAAGTCATGCTAGAAAAGAAACGACAACTTATAGTTGACAACAAAAAATCAACTGTAGAATAAGAAGACACAAACAAAACCGCCAGAAAAATGACAAAGGAAGACATCAGAACCCGTAATACTCGAATTGAGGAGAATGTCCTAGAACAAGATAAATGAACAAAAGTATTCAGGAGAGAAGCGCCAAACACAAAGAAAGAAATAGTCAGAATCAAAGACCAGGAAGGTGTCAGTTGTTGTGCAATGGTCCGAGTACTCCTGGAAAGCTCTGCTGCAATTATCTCCAATACCTGTTCCTCTATGTCTAAAACTCGAAGACCTGTTGGTCGCCCACTATCTATCTCAAATCCTGTATATGTTCATTTATCTCTAATTAACCTTAACTTAAAACTATTTATGACGATTTAAGAATAAAACAGTAATTGATTAAAAATATATCTGTATGGGTGAAGATCTGAACAATTTATAATTAATAAAAAAATAAGTACTGGCGGCTTCAGGACGTTCAACTGCTCTGTCCTGCCTTGTTAACGAAAACCGAATATTACCCAGATGTGCTTCTGTTTAATAAGGTTATTCGCTTTTTAAGCAATTTAATTACTACTTAGGTCCATTAGCTAGGTGTAAAATATACCGAGTTTAATAAGTTTCCGACATTTTACGAGTCGATTCGGCACGAATTTTTAAAATAAAATTTCGAGCTCCAAGGTCTTACAAAATTCAATTTGAATTGTGCGTTTTGTTACATGAGAAACTTAAATTCTATCTTTGTTTACTCTCAGTAATATCTTTGATATTGTGCAACTAATTATAATTAAGCACGTTCCACTGTATCATGTTCCACGTTCATCGCAAAACGCGAGAATGTCGACTTCGCATTTTGTTGCTAATAAGTAGGCTAAGTTAAGATTTCCAAAGTTGTACCGAGGTATCTGAAATAAACATTTTTAAAAACCCTTTTTCTAAAAGGCGCATTTTAACTTCACAGATTTTTTTCTTTAGAAGAATCATAACTTTTAGTTGTCGTACAAAAGTCGCTGCCAACAACCGTTTTTGAGATGTTTTAATTTAAAGTAATTTACGTTTCAAAAGTAAAATTGTTTCTTAAAAAGTAAAGCTATTTAGCAAACTAACTTTTATAATTATTATTTTAATTTATTTTCTTGACTGCGTGCAATTGTTATTATATTCTTATCCTTCATGGGTCTCAGTCAAAGTGTGAAGTAAAAATTTTGAATATCGTTTATTTCATTACGTTTCGGCGAGACAACAGCGCCATTATCAGATTTAAAATTTTCACAATTAAAACATTATGTCCAAAAACTATAATTTATAAAGCGTTAAAACATTTATTAGTTCTTGAGCAAAAAAAAATCCGCTTATATCAATACATGCATTCTCGCAAAAGTAGAAAATAATTCAAACAAATTTAAGGTTTAAGACAGCAAAGACTTAAAAGAACGTAATATTTACCGATTATGAGGTAAGTTTTTCAAATGTTTGGTCTCCCAGAAGGAAGGAATTTTTCCCTCAAGAACTAATGAATGTTTTAACGCTTTATAAATTATATATGGTTTTTGTACAACATGTTTTAATTTTGAATTGGTGTTTGTAGTTTAGGTTAGTTGAATGATATTCAAAATTTTTACTTCACACTTTGACTGAGACTCAGGAAGGATAAGAATATAATAACAATTTATAATTATTAAAGTTTAAATTTATTTATCTTGACGTACAGTTAAGTAGCAATCATTATTATTCAACCTAAGTGCGTCGTATGATACCGTCTAGCTCTTTTCATAAAAATGTCCTTTTTTATTGGGAAACAAGAGCACTCTTTATCAAATGTAATAGAAGACAAAATTTTGTAGGCTAACGACACAACAAAAAGGGTTTGAAAATTAAAAAAGTTAGTTTACAAATTGGTTTGTCGTCGATTATTTTTAATTAAAATATCGAAAACGGTTGCTCGTAGAGACTTTCGATAAGAATACAATTTTTGCTTCAAAATGATGGAGACATTGATTTTCTTGCTAAAAAATGCACGAAAAAGTTATGAATATTGAGAAGAGAAAAAATGTAGCTAGCCCCTTTTCATSCAAGATCAAATTTACGTTTCACATGTTACAAAGCCCCCAAATCCCACGTTTCCTTAAAATATCGACATATTTCAAAAATTATTCGCAAAAAACAAAAAATTAACTTGTTTTTAACACCGTATAGCTATATAARTAAGGCCTTGTGGACCCACACGTACTAGGATATGGGCTTTTTATCTTAAAAACATCTGAGGATTTGCTCTGTGAAATATCGGATACTTAATCCACTCGGAATAAAGTAATGACTAAAAATAAAGCCTCATTGGTGGTTTTAAAATGGATGATAAAATCATAAGACATTCTTATGGGCGCGTGGACCTCAGCGTATCAACAAAAGCTGAATGACTCGGGCCAATTACAAACCACAGCCACGAATCAAATGCAATTCTCAGTGGTGAATAACAAAATAAGAATTTTTATTAAATTTTTTGAAAATGTTTACAAAAAAACTGTTGGGAGCATATTTATTGTTTTCGACAACTTAGTGATTTTCTTCATTTTATTGTGCTGTTTTTATTGCGGGTTTTCTTTATTTATGGCATTATAATAATTTATAATGCATAATAAGGTTATTATTATTATTAATAAAACATATCATTAAAGCTTTTAGATTAATTAAGAATTTTAGATGAAACTATAACGCTCAATAAATATCAACTGATCTAAGGAATGCCATCGTTTGAAACTTTCTTGTGCAAAATTGCCTGTAAACATATTTAACTCTCCTTGGGATTAAATCAATTACATAATAATTAAAGCGTAGTGATCGACTTTAGCCCAGTTGGAGCCGTCTCGTAAATGCATTTATCTGTTAAGATAATTACTTTATTTTCATAGAAACGAAGTTACTAGGAAGAAGGCACTGTGGGTAATGAATCCTTCATCGCCATTAGCTCTTTCAACCACATTATCACACATATTTGTTCAGTGGCAAATAAGGGATAACAATGGGGGGGGGGGAGTCAGGTCATAAAAAAGGAATCGTAACATGCAAGTTCTTCTGGATGGAATTAACGTGTTTTTGAAATATCTAATTTCAAAATTTACAGAATTATAAAATTTTATTAACTTATCATTAAAGTGAATTCAGACTTTGGAGAAGTCCGGGAAAATAGAAAGTATTGTACCGAATTCAGCTTTTAACAGTCGTGGCACTATAAGTTCTAACTAGAAGACATTCAGGAACGAATTTCATTCAGGTGGCATATTTTGACTCCACCTCTTCCAATTGATCTCTATTCAATCGTTTAATGTAATAATGGGCTGAAATAAGGCGGGGCCTTTTTCTGGGCATAAATCATCTGTTTGAAACAAATTTTTAATAAACTTCGGTAATGTTTATACGGCGCGGCAGCACAAATCGGAACCATCATTTCATATAATAATAGGAATTGGTGTGTACCCACTGAATGAAATCAAAGAATCGGTCTATCTTCCTTTTCTGATACAACCCTTTGTATCACCCATTAGTACAATAAGCGTTTTATTTTCTGTAATGTAGAGGCCCTGGATGACTGAATAAGTCGAAAGCGCTAGGCTAAATGTACCTTTGAAGGCTTGAAGTAGACCGTTAATTACACACTTCTTCTGGATGGAATTAAAGTGTTTTTGAAATATTTAGTTTATAAAATTACATAATTATAAACTGTTTTTAGGTTATTATTTAAGTGAATCCCGAAAAAATATTTTGGGACACAAAAATTGGATTTTCTCATATTTATTTCCAGTTTCTGTATCAAACTCTTCTGTACGTTGAGTACTGTAGCAAGTCAAATTGACTTGAGTTAATTAATCTACAGATATTTTCGTCATTTTTGCGCTTTACAGTCAAAGCACGATCAAACTGTTTTTCAATGGTTTATGCTATAGTAAATTAAATCAATTAGGAAAAAGTGTAAAATGAAAATTGAAATATTTCGTTTCGACGTGTTTTTCTTTTCATTTTGTAACTATTTTTCGGTTTTCCAGTCATAAAAATATGCAATATTTATGGAGGGTATCAAACTTTAAAATTATTACGTAACATTTCATAGATTGTTGGCTAATGGTCACAAATCCCGTATATAATGATAATAAAATACTACAGAATCAAAAAGTTTATTCCTAAAAGTCCTATCTGTATAAAAACAAAAAATATATTTTAGTAAAATCACAGAAATGAGTTTTCAATAAGTATTTGTATGTGAATATACATAATTTAATTTGCATTAGGGTTACAAATGTTATAGTCACTAACATTAACTTTTGTATATTATCGCTTTATTTGCTTCTTTACTACTACTACTACAAAATAAGTACAGAGGAATAAAACTTTTCATTCGCAACTTTGCCACTTGTAGGTACTTTAAAATTTATTCGTGTTTGTCATATTTCAAATTCTACGTGTCTTCGACTGRRCAAGACGTATGTGGACSTYAAAAATTCATAATCGTTCGTTAAATTCGCCTTACATGTGAAAAATATATAGAATGTAATATTAATAAATTTTCCTAAACGCRGTTAAATGTTGCAGTTCACGATCGTGCCTTTCATTTACAGATAAATAACTATTATGGTATTTATTTAGCATTTAGAAATCAAGAACTCGTTAAATGCCAAACTGGGTAAGTACCTCAGGTAAATACCAAATTGACTTTAGCAGTAGATTAAAAGATAAGTTCAATATCCCAATATGAAACATTCCGAATTGAATTTTTACTACAACCCAAACAATGGCAACATAAACAGGTGCAGTTGAATTGCTTCACTGATTTTTTCATTATCATCTAAAATCTATTGGTTTATTTTGCCATTAAGCGCATTGATTGAATAGCAAATAGTACTTCCGCAAGCTGTAAATAAATAATAGATGCACGTCTAATATTTGTTCAGTGTCAATGATCTAGAAGTCATGGGACAAGAATAGATGAACTATGGATTCCTACATTTACTTCCTGGAAATTCGCATAAAATTGTCCTAAACTCTATTAATAAGAATATGTTTAGGACTAATTTACACATAGGGTGTTCATTTCATAATTTCTCGCTATCAACTTTTTAAATGCTGAGAAATGCTAATTAAAAAATGCAGATATTTATCTATCTCTGTAAAGGTACGCTAGTTAACTGCTTAATTTTAAGTAATGAAAGACTCTGGGTGTGCGTAAGAGAGGCATTTCCCAAACTTCACCGAAAAAAAAAGTAATGGAGGAATTAAGTCAACAAAAGCTCAAATTGATGCCAATCTTTTGCTTAGGAATGACGACCAATATTTGAACTCCTTATATTATCGAAAGACATAAACAATTCTTCCAGGTTTAGATAATATTATTACGATAAAAAATATGAATTTTGAGTTGAGATTAATGACACCACATGTTTAAAGCCTTTTTAAGTAAGAAAATTTCAAACAGGGATGCATCGGACGATCTCGATGCCCATTTTGTTAACTTTTTTGGTGTCATCATTTTATTTGTAGGTGTATAACACTTCTTCTCCGTCGGCCTTTATTTATCCACTGCTGGATATAAGCCTCTTCCAAATTTCTCCATGTGTCCCTCTCTAGGGCTAGGTGGTGCCAGTTTCTGCACAACGACCGCTTGATGTCGTCTAGCCATCTCTTTTGGGGTTTTCCGATACTTCTTTTTGTTAATCGTGGCAGCCGTAGGCGTATTGTCCACTTTAGTGTTCTGCCTTGCCACATGTCCAGCCCATTGCCACTTAAGTTCAGCTACGTGCTCGATCATGTCTTTTACCTTCGTCTTCCTCCTTATTTCTGTATTGCGTATTTTGTCGCGCAGGCTGATTCCCAGCATGGATCTTTCCATCGCTCTCTGGGTTGTTCTAAGGCGTTCTATTATTTATTTATTTTATCTAGCAAACTCTGGAACAAAGCTATGAATAGTTTAGGATAGAGAGCGTCTCCTTGTCTCAATTCTCTCTCGGTTTTAAATTTGTCTGTATACTGATTTTCTGTAATTTTGATCTTACACCTGCATCTTTTGACCTGCCGTTGCAGTCTTGTTTATATATTTAACTGCTGCAGAGTAGCGAAAGTTACTGCACTCGGCTAGTGTTTCTAAGAATTTCTGTTGAAGTACGGAATCAAAGTCATTTTTTTTCGAAGTCAACGAATGTTAATATAAGTGGCTTTGTTCTATTCGACGCTTTTTTCGTTAAAAATCTTGGCTGTTAACAAGTTGTCGTTGGTCCCATATCCCATTCGAAAACCTACGACTCTACCTTTCAAAAGAAAGAACTCTAGTTTCCTAGTCAGACGTAGCTCGAACTAATACGACTTGTTAAATTGAAATCCCCATAATTTCCGAAACGTTGAAAATTCAGGAGAAGCAAAAACAAATTGCTTAAAATTTGTCATAGGATTCATATCTTAACTATCTTAATAACTTCGTGTCGTCCGCCTTGCAAACATACAACGTGTTTCAGAACTGTTACAAACTTCCAGGTTTTACACACGAGCCAAGATGGGATAAGTTTTGTTAATAAATTGATGCCCGGAAACGCACCCTTGCCATTGAATTACTTGCGCTGAGATAATATTTTAATAATTTGATCTATTTAGTGTACTTCTTTTAGTTTAATGCTTATCTTATCATGATTGAAATTACGAATGTTGGGTATACGGAGAGAATCGATTTTTTTTTCAGTAACGGACAGTCGTGGGAGAGTTGCACACCAAACTTGTAAAAATCCTTTTCTGAATTTCCATTGTCCATAACAAGCATTTTTTCCGTACATTGATCAGAAACTATAAAGCATTATCAGTTTCTAAAATTAACTGCGGATTTGGACCCGTACAACCGCCAACGATTGGAGTATCTGCTATCTGCTTCATTATGGAGAATCCAATATGGATACCAGAGTCCCTCGGTGCAACCCGCGCAAATAATTCAAATCTCTGAAAAATCGTGCTCGAATCAAAGCTACATTTCTATTTATTTCAAAAGGTTTAAAAATTATGTCTCAGTGATTAGGCTGCACGAGTTTAAATGTGTCGTTGGTATCTACAACAATGTGAAAACAACCTTCACTGTTCGGAGATGATTCAATTTGGTGACGAATATGATTTCACACGGCATTAGGCATGGTTAACTCAAAGAGAGGCAACAACTCAAAAGCGCAACTCAATACAGTGTTACCCATGCCTAGTCGGCGCCGGGTATTTAACGATCGAAATAGTCACATCTGTGTGTTTCCACTAACACACCCAAACTAATGCTCAACAACACCAAAATCCCTCTTTCTAAATCTCTCAAATATCTTGGCGTTATCATCGATTCTAGACTAAACTTTGCTGAGCACATTAACAAAATAATCTCCAAAGGA